AAATAATGAGGCGAGATTCATCCGAACTGAAGTGGCAGAAATAGTTGACTTGACTTCGCCATAGGTGATTCAACATTTACAGTCAAACAGATGGAGCGGGCTAGACACATGTGACGAACAGAGTGATCGATAAATGGACACACATAAGTAGGCTGATAAGGAAAATTAGGTTTACAAATAATGACACAGAACAACAATATAACTTTGTGCAAAATTTGAAACAATCTACGTAGTTATGTAATGAAAAAGAAAGTACTACAACTAGTCACAACAGAATATAGGAATTTAATGGAAAGATAACGTGCACACATAAGGGATGAATTTATGACACTGAAACATCGTCCATGAAAAACAAGGTGTACGGACTATATATGTGGGTGGCGAGTGGCATGAGATTATGAACGAGGTAATACTCGTGTAATAGAGTTGATATACGCTTGTAGGGTGAATGCTTAAGCACTAAAAATAACATGGTATAATTAGTTTGTAATAGTTTGAAAACAAAGCTCGATAAATCGTCTAAAGTTTATGAGCATAACGGTTGATCAAAATTCAAGAGGTGAAAATAACAGAGATTCAGTTTAAATAGTTCATGATGAAAAAGTCATCTAGTTCAAAGCCGCGGCCTGTTCACAATCACATGGCCACTACAGAATACATCCGCGCGAGATAATAAACTGGAATATAGAAGGACTTGGCAGCAGAATAGTAGAGACCCGGAACATGTATATCTTGCTCTGGCTGAAGACCATGCTTCCCACTGAAATCTGGTTCTGCAATGATGGAGTGAACACTGCCTACTTACCTACGCCTGTTACCCCTCATGGAGGTGGATAGGTCGCCAACCAGCACCAGTCCTCACCTTAAACCTACCGTGGTATTATTAGCTTATTATCCAGAGTGATTATGTTCCTAATTGTTTTCATATTATCATCATTATTATCCCCCATTTACAGTCTAGTTCACCCTTTATTTTTCTATATAAGTGTTCTTAACAAGTATATGTGTGATCAGATTGTTCGAAATGTATTGCGCTAATATATCACATAGTTCTGATAATCTTCATCTTATTAAACTATCGAAAATTATCAAAGGGACTAATTGCTTTAAATTAATATATTTCCCTGCTAGTTTCCTCGTTGTGTCATGTAGCTGTCTCATCTCCTCTTTCAGCCTTTCCTGCTGTCATTTCTGGCTCTTCCACGTAATTCTGCTTGTCAGCTCTAATGCTCCCTTGTTTGCCTCTCTGTGTTCGGCATGTGCCTTGACTTTCTCTGTTCTTGTTCGACTGTTGTTAATGCTTCTTTGATCCCTTTCGATTGTCCTCCATCGTGGCTTATTTTTTCAGTTGATTCTGAAAGGCTTTGAACCTGCTGTTGAGAGTTATTATGAATTAGTTGAGTTTTTTAGTATCTCGTAGGAAGGCTGTATTGAACCTTTGTACTACAGTTTAGTGTTTATTTAGCTCCAAATTCATCTTGGCCACATCCAGGTGGTAATCTGGAGCTATGTCAGCTCCTCTCCTGGTTTTCGCATCTTTCATTGTCCTTCTGAATTTTTTTATTGATAAAAATATGATCTATCCGGTTCTCCGTGGTGTGGTCTGGTGAGACCCATGTAGCTTTTTGTATGCGTTTGTGTGAGAATATTGTGCCACCTATAACCAATTTGTTGAGTGTGCATAGGTTTGAAGGTCTCTCCCCATTTTCGTTTCACTCTCCCAGTCCATGTCGTCTCATGATACCTTCATATCCGGTGTTGTTCATTCCCACTTTGGCGTTTAGGTCTCCCATCTGGATTGTGATATCCTTTCATGGGAACTTCTCTATGATTGATTACAGCCTTTCATAGAACTGATCTTTATCGTCTTCGTCGCTATCAATGGTGAATGCATAACATTGGATAACATTCATTGTGATCTCCTCCTTCTTTATTGTTTTGAATGATACTTTGTTAATTCTGGATCCATGAGATTCCCATCCTACAAGTGCATTTCGTGCTTCTCTGGACAGCATTAGAGCAACTCCATGAGTGTGTGAAGCATTTTCCTCTTCGTGACCGGAGTACAGAAGCATCTCTCCCCGTATCTAGCCTTTGCTGTGCAGCTTGAGTTCAATGGGTTTCACTGATTCGGAGTACTGCAAAATTGTATCTCCTCCTTTCCGTTGCTATTTGACTAGTCTTCCTGGTCTCCCATGTAGTGATAAAAATTGTTGCTCTGATTGTTAGAAGGGGCATCGGCGTCGTGATTTCCGAAGAATCTCGGATTTCGTCGTGAGGCGTCATGATTCTTATTTGCACTCGGAGGGCAGGGTTTAAATGTTTTAATTTGTTTGACATTTTTTAGCGAGTTCGTTTTCTATTGGATGGGGTTGCCTACCCCAACCCAACCCTTCCTGCTTTACCCGGGCTTGGAGCCGGGAGTAATTTTAGAAGAGCTACAGGCGGAGTTGCTCTATGGATTATTTTATGTATATGTCTTCATTGTATGATTACTAAGTGACCGAATTACTTTATAATATAAAGAAACACGATTTTCAGTGCATACCTTAACCTTGGAGTAAAGTTTTTTGCACTTTGGGCATTATGTCTTGTGTTTAAATTGCTGTGTGGACATATTTAGAGATTATTAGAAGCTACTAAGGTTATCGAATCGAGTTTTCTTTTTTCAGACTTGTGAGCTGTAAACATTAAACTTAATTTTTAAGCGAGAGCTGGTAATTCTTATACCAGTATTTCAAAATTGTCTCTTTTAAGTGACTGGAAGCTAAGTCATTGGACGTACCACAATTTAAAACTGAGTGCCAGACAAAATTTATCAAGCAACTGATATCCAAAACTGCATTCAGTAAACTGAAAATAACTTTCTCTATGGAGTAGAAGGAATTGCAGATTGAGGGATGCTAGACAATTTTTAGTGCTAGTTTATGCTTCCAGGAAAATCGAGCTGGAGATCAGATCTAAGCATTCAACACTGACGAGTGTGCAACATTTCCCTCCTTGAAGTTTAATCCTGTGGGTTAACATTTCCAGTACCACTTCATTGATGATTTATTCAGATGATAATCTAAATCAATAAATTTATTTAGATGTCAAAAATTTGGACCACTGAATTTAAAGGCGAGTTATGTTGAGGTCTGATAGTAAACATGGAGCGTCAGTTTACCTCATAATAAAGTCTCTTAAACAACAATCTATTTGTGATCCTACTTGTGGTAAAAAAAACTTACGACTATGGCTTGAGAATAGTACAGGCTAAAAATTAAATTAACCAAGGTCAAGGCCACTACAAAGTGGATACACTTCTCGATTTCACAATTATAAAATACAACCTTCTGAACCAGTGTAATTCACGTTGGTTTTCAGAAGCACCAGACACTCTCCGGACTATAACATTACAATCTGAACAGCACAGCTCAATCCTTCTTTGAACTCGGAGGGCAGAGTTTGAATGGTTTAATTTATTTAACCTGGCTGACTTTTTTAGCAAGGTTGTTTTTTACGAGATGGGGTTTCCTGCCTCATGGCCAACCCTTTTGCTTTACTTGTGCTTGGGACTGGGAGTAACTCTAGAGGAGCTACAGATGGATTTATGGAGTGGACATATAAGTCATGGATTCATTCGAACGTGACAATGAACGCAAAGAGTATGGTGAAACTAAAATTGCACTAAAATACCAACTGGTCGAATTACCAAAACTTCCTGATGTTTCTTAAAATTAGTGTCATGCACTTAGTCGAAGAATATACCGTCCACTAACACGTAATAACGCTCAGAAGAAACGGATACATCTACTAATAACACTTTTATCACGTTTGATGTTTGAATAAATACTTATAGTTTGGGCCATTGATATCCCACCCGTAAATATCAGTTCAGAGGGGGTGATACCCAGATGGTGGTTTCATAAGCAAAGCATCAAATCAGTCAAAAGTACTAGCCTTACTGGATATGTAGGCGACGTCACAAGGAGGAAATCCGGTCACAACAGACACATACACCTTACATCCCATGTTATGATTGTTTTCCTCACGTCTGCTCAAAGCGAAATCTTGGACTATTAACCAGAGAGTTCGGACATATGCTCAAACTGCCAAAGCATATGGAACTCTTCACTTTATATGAAGACAGCTTGGCAGAACCACTGCAGACCCGTTTCTGATACTTGAAATCTTACCTCGAAGTTCACAACGTTTCTCTTGCGAAACATAAATCTCTCAGACCAGGTGCAAGGACCAGCAAAATGTGAGTGATAGGGCTAAGAAGTAAATCTTACGAAGATAAACTTTGACACCCATGGCTATTTTCGTGTGATATCTTCAAGGTATTGTAGTTTGGCCACACTTTACCAGTAACTTCTATAATCGATTCGCTCCCACTTAGTGAAATCAAAAGTAAGAAGCGAGGAGATTGGAAGATTTATTTGAAAGATTATCAATATATTGAGAAGTGATTGATCCAAACTGGCTAGTGATCGCTGGAGACGTTGAGCACGCCGTTCCAACTTATGATCTGGTGCGGACGCATGACCGAGCGCCATCAGATAGGTGATTCCATCAAAATTAATGTGGTGAGCATCCAATGTCGACCACCTACAGAGCTATTGATTTGGGAGATTTCATTACCGCTTCTACTCGTGACATCCTCAAACTCCTGAAACAATTATCTCTTGACATGTAAACTTTATTTCTCTTGTTTTCACATTGCAATCAACCAATCTTCACTCCGGTAGTATGATAATCACGTATTCCGGAAACCCTACTGCTCTGTGACAAATGCATTTAGATTGCAAGATATATACACACAAATAACGACCAACACGATAAAAATGAAGTAGTCAAATGGCTAAGATAGCAATCATAGGACATTACCAAAGACCTGAAACTATTTAAAACATCATGAAATGAGCTCAAAAAGTCAGTCGTTTTAACTAAGCTCATCATATGGATATTAAAGATTGAATCTCAAAGGTCTTGAGAAGGAGGGACTTTTAAGTATCATGTCTGCTTTTGGTTTAGATCTTGACGAATTGACTTCAGCTTTCGATCCTAAGAAACCGTCTTCTGAGACTTCTGCAGATACCGGTTCTACACAACCTGGTGACTTCGAAGAAAAAAAGCGAAAGTAAGTTCAATAGATTTCTCAACAGTGTTCCTCGTAAACAAGCATTCACAATTAATCTTCTGTAGGACTGTTTTACGCATGTTAGTCTGCTATTATCTAGATGCCTCAGTACCTAAAGACCCGAAAGATCTATCACATGTACATATAACAGTGAATTTTCATCCTTTGATTGGAAATAGGTTTATTAAACTTTGAACCCATTACACGACGGATTCTTCAAAATTTTTCATCACCCTTAAGTATTAACGTTGTATCATGTTCAACATAAATCTGCCACGTTTCTTTCAGGATGAGGTCACTGTCTGGTCGAAATTGAATGCTTCCATCGATTACGAATACTAAACCAGTCTTTCTGAAACCGCGTACACCATTCAAACTGACTTCCTCCAACGTTCGCACACTAATGCAGATAGGGCAACAGATGGGGCTGGCTATGTCTTTAGAAAGTCTTAATGTTGATGTTTGTTGTCTATCCGAGACCCGTATTCAAGACTCGTGAAGTACTACAAATTCGCTCTCCATCTGTGGCTTCAAAAGACTTGTTTTAAGTGTGTTTATCCGGAGAACCTGTAGCATGATTTATGCAGACTCCGTCGTACCACTCTTTTCGCTCATCGCACTGCATACCACCATCCACCAGGTCTTGACAACCTGAGCACTGACAATTGATTTTTTCCACACTAGCCACTAATCAAAGGTTGTCAGATAGATTAGGTAAGTAACACTGATGCAAAAACTGATAACCAAAAATGTTGGGCAAAAAATGAGCCACGAACTGTGAGGTTCAAAAAGTACAGTACCCCAAAAGCTGTTGTATTCAATAAAAGTACAAATGCAAAAAATTTCCTTAAAAAACAAAACTCCTGGTGTTACTGTGACTAAAATAAATCCAACTAAAGTGAAGATAGGGGTCTTAGTGTATAATAAAAGGTCTAAAGCATAAACTTAACGCAGCGAGGAGAAATACCACTGTTTTTTTAGATAGCTCAATTAAGAATATTGCATGAACACATGGATCTTAATAAATACACATTAAGATTTTTCTTTCCTACCTATGAAAATTAAGTCAGCTGTGTGGTGCTAACGCTACTAGCAAGTGAAGCTTGTATTTTAAGATTATAGTTTATCGTTGTTATAAATATAATTACGTCAGTAAATTGTTATGATAAGTGCCTCGCTACAAGTTAATTATAAAGTAATATGGTATATTACTATAGATTTCGAACTGCGACATTTCTGGTTTTACCAATTTGTAAAACCTGGCCAGCGTTCTACACAGTTTGGCACTGTAGATTTAATGACTGAAGACCACACCACTCCTTAGATCATTAATTGAACTGGTAAGGTTACAGTGTTGAAAATTCATCCTTTGTCCGATGCTAAGCTTAAAACCCCTTATTGTGCTACATCTTTTGTCTTCTCTCTGATATACGTTCATAATTTTTCCCTACTGGATTCTTACTTCATTTTTAACACATTTCTCCCATATCTTCCACGTAATTTGTATTCATTGTGATCTTTTTTGACAACTAAGATCGACTTAGAATATCATCAGGCCCTTTGTTGCTTTTACTTGAGTATTTCACGAAATTGCCAACATGCATGGAATTCAGGTTGGTTGGCATCTCATTGACGATTTTCTTGGCCATGTTTGATGTAAAAGATATTCGCCACAAGAATTGCGATTACAATGTTTTAGCCGGGAGCATTCGGGTTTAACCCAGGTTCTCTATAGAAGTGCTTGTATTACATGTTTGTTCAAATTATATTTTCTAAAGCATGGCTTAACATTCCAAAGTTTAATGCCAAACATATTTTTTATCGTTTAAAACACCTCAGTCAGTCAGTCAGTCAGTCACAACGTAGAACTTCGTACGTACGTACATCAGTTCGAGTTGCCATACCACATTAGCACACAGATGCAGTTGTCGATTCAAATCCCATAGTGGAAGAATTAGTAAGAGTATAAGCAGTAATCGGAAAGATTAGAGTTTGAAGATGTTATTGAAGGAGTATAGTACAGTGAAATATATTTGGAAGGAGAAAAACATAAAGACATGAGAAATTCAGAAGATTAGAATTTGGTAGAACACAAAGAGTGGATGCATCTTCGCCATTGCAAACGATTTTGAGCCATGTCATTCAAGGTCTCTAACCATCGGTTGCTATCATCTCGCGAATCCCAACCAGGTAGTTTAAAACACCTAACTCAGTTCTTGTCATTTTTAACCCTCAAAATTCTTTGACATGTGATGCAAGAAACTAATGCTTTCTGTTAGTGTTGCTTTAATGACAAGAGTAAAATTGGTAAGCTCTCAACACGAGATAACTTGTTTTAGTTAGCAGCACATTCGCTAAATCAATCTGTTTGTTCGACAGTTTGACTAAAACAAACGAAAATATGGCTTATCTATAATTCCGCCAGATTGGTGTCAAATCTCAGGGGTATTCAATATTTCCCCCAAGGTTTTCTGTTGTTTTCACAGTAATTACATTTGTAAAGATGCTATTGTACTTAATGTTAAGTGCTTTTTTATCTTCAGAGCAGAAGCCTCACTCAAACCCTTACTGAAAGAAGTAGGGGAAGGTTCTACAGATGATTCTCCCAAACGTTCAAAACTATCTGTTACTGATACTCTAGAATTTAATGCTCCCAGAATACAAATACATAAAATCAGTTCACCCGAAACATGTACACACGAGGTAGTTTTTATCTTGTGTCACATGTCTTTTTTTCTCTAAAGGTCGCTGTTCCTCCGGATATTGAATACAAGCCAATCATTAAAGATTATGGTTTTCCAGCGAAAACTTTTCCCTTCACGCTTGATGCATTTCAGCAACAAGCAATCATATGTATTGATAATAATCAGTCAGTTCTATTATCAGCTCATACGTCAGCTGGTAAAACTGTTGTGGCTGAGTAAGTTTTATACTAACGATTTAACTTTATTAGTATATCTAATGAGGATTTATACATTCCAAGTGATTCACCACTATATCTAAAAAATGTACTTAGAGTTTTCAGTATATTATTGTTTATTTAATCGTGAAATCACTAAAACTAATCCAGCTCTCGAATCTTATAATTCATCCCACAATGACCATGAGATTTTCAAGTAGTCAACTTGCGGGTAATTTGTGCAAGTACGGGTGTTATTAAATACATGTGCTTTTGGTTTTCGTATGCTATGTTACTGGGTTTTGACACTAGTATCCGAAGTTGTAAGTTGACGATTTTTTTTCTAAAAGGTCCAAGCTGGTGTTGAAGCTTTAATATTGTATATCTATTACTGTATTCGGAACTAACTGAAATTCTAAATTGAGATAGAAAACCAAGTGAAGATAAGACAGTCAAGGAACTAGTGTTTGTGGAAAATCTAACTCGTTCGACCTTATATAGGTGAGAAAGTGTTCATACGTCTAGATCAAATGTAAATCAGTAAGTTGGTAGAATTAAAATAAAAAGGCAATGAAAAATACATATTAGTACTTCACAGTGTTTACGTGAATTCATAGTGCTTCTAGAAGTTCGTAAGTTTCAAGGTTACTACTAGATCCATTAACAATAACAGTAATAAGAACATATTGAGCATTCTCAGCCAATCATCAATCAGTTTTATAATCTAATCATCTAATTTCATCAGGTGGAATAATTTAGCTTACCAAATTCCATGGAGTTTGTGAGATTAAATACGCAGGTAAAGGTAAGTAATTAGAAACTATGAAATTGTGCCAACCATCGGAGTATAATTTCAATATTAGATATTTCCGAAATTTTGACGCGTACTGTAAAAATTATACGAATTCTCAAGACTGACTCTCAAGTACGTAGATACGTTGATAATTATCTTCACACTCTTGCTGGTCCTGGATTATGGTCACTGTTGAGGATCTTAAATTCTCAAATACAGTCTAGTTACTTATCGAATTAGAATACGCAGATGATATAGTCCTGTTTAGTGAAGACGCTGACAAAATGCAGAGTCTTCTGTTAGAACTAAGTAATAATGCCAGGATGTTTGGAATGCGTTTCTCCCCATCCAAATGTAAATTGTTACTCCAGGACTGGCCTGCGTCAACACCTGAACTAAGGATATGGAGTGAAGTAGTCGAACGCGTCGATAACTTCACTTATCTTGGAAGTCTGATCAGCCCTAATGGGTTGGTGTCTGACGAAATCTCAACACGGATTCAAAAAGCTCGTTTGACTTTTGCCAACTTACGTCACCTATGGCGAAGACGAGATATCCGTCTATCAATTGAGGGACGAGTATACTGCGCAGCTGTTCGCTCCGTTCTACTTTACGACTGTGAAACATGGCCATTAAGAGTAGAAGATACTCGTAGGTTACTAGCATTTGACCACAGATGCCTTAGAAATATTGCTCGCATCTGCTGGGATCACCGGGTAAGTAATAGTGATGTTAGACGCAGGGTATTAGGGAATGATGGTAAATCAGTTGATGAGGTGATGAATCTTCATCGACTGAGATGGTTGGGCCACTTGTTACGTATACCTGAACACCGATTACCACGACGCACAATGTTGACCAGTGTAGGGGATGGTTGGAAGAGAGTTAGGGGCAGCCAAACCAAAACATGGCATCAGTGCTTGAAGTCACTAACTTCTAGTCTGAGCCATGTTGGTAGATGCAGACCACTTGATTGGGGTCCGCGTGACTATCGTAATAAGTGGTTGGTGACTCTGGGTGACATGGCTCAGAATCGATCACAATGGCGTAGGTGTATACACTCTTTATCTTCCTTCAAACCTTGAGATTGAAATTGCTTCATAACTTTTTTTCCTTCCCATACTATATCCTTATATACAACCTTTCTTTATATACTACCACCACTAAATTAATTACTTCTATGATTCCGGTGTTCATCTTGTTGTGCTAACGAGGTATGGCAACTTGGACCGATGCATATATGTGCCTGGTCCTACGTTGTCGCTGACTGACTGACTGACAGTCTAGTTGGAAGAAATTGAGTGAAAGATTATATATTAATTTATATATTTTGTCCATTTCGTTGGTTTTCAATTTAACCCAGTATGATTTCTGTTTATTTAACTTTTGAATTAGTTCAGTATAATTTTTTCCCCAGTATAAGATTAATTTATATAAACTAATCCAATATGTTTTTTCGTTTGCTTCACATTTGTTCAGTATAATATTTAATTGTACAAATTCTGTTACAGTTGTTCATTTTGAAAATTTCTTTAAATAATGATTACTGATTGTAATCTCTGTATATTGAAGTGCATTCGAATGTGAATTAATCTTTTCGGGTCTCTATAAATAAAGCTTATAGATAATCTTGAACTTCAGTCTCCTGTCGACGGGCAGAGGAGATAAGGATAGTATGCAGACCCACTCGTTGTCATGAAAGTCGAAGTTACGAATTATTCATGCGTGCATTAAACTCTAATAATCTTTGTATTTTCAGTTACCTATTGGTCAGGATATTCCTCGGTAATTCTCTGTTAGGAAGATGTTTCTTCAAACTCCATTGGAGAATTAAAAGGCATATACAAAAACACGGTAAGCAGAGTGAGCGCATGATATCACCACTTCAATGTTCCAAACTCGCTACTAAGTTAAACAGTGTTCCCCAGCTCTACCATTCTGGGAAATGTTTTGACGGAGTTACATTGCGATGGAATGAAATAATCATAATCTTTTAACATTTGATCAATATCTTTTTTAGTTTTTCTATATTGTCATCAAACTAACCATTTATCGTGTTATTTTAGATATGCAATCGCAACAGCCCTACGGGAAAAACAACGTGTAATTTATACTACTCCTATTAAAGCGCTTAGCAATCAGAAGTACAGAGAATTTTTCGAAGCCTTCCCAGAAGTAGGATTACTTACAGGTGATGCTACAATCAATCCCAGCGCTAGTGTACTTATCATGACCACAGAAATTCTTCAATCCATGTTGTATAAGTGAGATCGTCATTTTTACCTAACTTATTATTGCTTATAATTGTCACCTGCTTCAATTATTTCTTGTAAAAGAGTAGCATGGCAGTAAGTATTGCCAACACGGTTTTACGTAAATAGGTCTCAGTTACAGTTTGTGTAATGAACTCAACTCCAATCTAAATAAAGACAGAACAAATATTGATGCATAATAGTATGAATTCATTATATTTCGTGGTTTCTCATCAGCTGCTTACAACCACCAAATGCCCTGGTACAGCCGAGAGTGGGGAGAGTCCACTCTCCCTCTCGAAATGCTCTCACATGGCCAGCGAATATATAACCTCTGCCAGGGAAGTCCTACTCACTGCCTTCTCGTGGCGGGGGTGTTGTTTACGAAAGTGAGAGGACGAAAAGCATATGTCCGGCGCTTTAACCGGGTTGGTGGACACGGAGGGTCCACCTAGGGGAGTTGGAAAACCCTGATTCCAAACCAATGGTGCACATGGGCTCCAGTATCCTGATGGAACGAATGGCGAATGAACCTGTTGTCGGTCAACGGCTACTATGGGAATGCATCTCCTCACGATGCTCCACTGCCTTGTGGATCAGACCTTTAGGTCAAAGGCTCGGGGTGTGGCCCCCTAAGAAAACCACCTGCTTCGGTTTGGGCACCCGGGCAGTATCACAGCCCACACACAAATGACATTAAATGACTCACTACACTAACTACACTGCTCTCGTTCCTAATAAAAGAAAGACAATTTACATTGTTATTATGATTATTATTACCACTATTATTATTATTATTATTATTATTTACTACGTCGCTTTTTCACCCCCTTTATTCCTAAATTGTATATCCTTCCTTTCCAACTTATGCAGTAGCTCGCCCATGGTGGAAACTATGTCCTATCTAAACGATCTCCAGTCACTGTCTGGTTGAAAGTGAATGATTCCACCGATTGCGAATACTGAAGCAGTCTTTCTGAAACCACGTAAGCCGTTCAGGCTGGCTTCCTTCAACGTTCGCACACTAATGCAGATCGGACAACAGATGGGGCTGGCCATATCTTTAGAAAGTCTTAATGTTGATGTTTGCTGTCTATCCGAGACCCATATTCAAGACTCTAGTGAAGTACTACAAATCCGCTCTCCATCTGTCGCTTCGAAAAGCTTGTTTCACGTGCGCTTATCTGGGGACTCTGTGGCATCTTCGTCCGGTCTTGCAGGCGTTGGTGTTGCACTAAGCTCTAGGGCTGAGACAGCACTAATCGATTGGATCCCCATTAACAGTCGGTTATGTGCTGTTAGATTAGAAAGTTTCATCAAAGTGAGAAGAAACCGGGGTGAGAAACGGTGTCTTTTCGTCATCTCCGCCTATGCCCCGACAGATTGCAGCCCGGATGCAATCAAGGATGAGTTTTACCACCAGTTAACAGTTCTTCTCCAGAAAGCGCGTTTGACAGATATTGTAGTATTAGCCGGAGACTTGAATGCCCAGGTCGGGCGTCTAGGCACAGAAGAGAGTCGTTTAGGTGGCCGATGGGGACTTGTTGGTCGCAGGACAGATAACGGGGACTGTTTGCTGCAACTGTGCACAGACTACAACCTGTTTCTGTCTAGCACTAACTTCCGGCACAGTCATCGCCGGTGCGCCACTTGGCATCCTCTCTCTACATCTCAAGCCTGGACTCAGGTTGATCACATCGCGATCAGCTACCGCTGGCGTGGTTGTGTACAAGACTGCCGCTCCTTTTGGAGTACCTATCTGGAGTCTGATCATGCCCTGGTCTGCGCCAATCTCACCTTACTTTTCAGTGGCCGAAGGATTGACCACCACCAACGGATTGATGTTAGTAAACTGGCTGCAACTTCTGTTGCAAGTAAGTATCGAGCGGAGCTAGCTTCTAGGCTAGCTACCATCCCACCTAAAAGTATAGATGAGCATTGGTTGCATCTTCACGACGCCATGAAAATGGCGAGTAAAGTCGCTTGCGGCTTCGCGAAACGTCCCGCTTACAAGCACTGGGTTTCTTCTGGTTCCTTACAACTGATCGAAGCCCGTCGGTCTACTCCGGGTGACCGTGAGTTTGACCACAAACGAAGGCTGTTACGTAATGAAATTGGGCAAAGCTTGCGTAAGGACCGAGAAGCCTGGTGGTCGGAGCGTGCTAATGAGATGGAAGCAGCAGCTGCATCTGGTAACTGCCGGAAGCTCTTCCAACTCATCCGAGCCACTGGCAGCAAGAAGTCTGATGTGAGTGAAACAATCTACGAGGATGACGGGATGCCAATCACTAACATCTCTCTACGTCTTGGACGATGGGAGGAATTTTTTGAAGGGCAGTTCAACTGGCCTGCTGCTCTTGCAACATCAACCAGTTTGTCCTGCCCCCCATGGCCGGTGAAGACTGATCCACCAAACGAGGCGGAAGTCCGCAAGGAACTCCAACTCTTGATGCGCTACAAATCACCTGGCCCAGATGATTTACCTCTGTCCCTTTTTAAAGATGGTGGTGACTTTCTGGCTAAAGAAACTGACGGTGTTGTTTGCAAAGGTTTGGGAGCAAGAAAGTGTTCCAACATCATGGAATGAGTCAATAGTCGTCCCTATCTTTAAAAAGGGTTCGCGTTGTTCCTGCAATAACTATCGGGGGATAAGTTTTCTTCCGATTGCGTCCAAAATATTGGCTTCTGTTATTCTTCGTAGGTTGTTTAAAACCCGAGAACGATTGACTCGCGAGGAGCAGGCTGGTTTTCGTTCTGGTCGAGGATGCATTGATCACATCTTCACCCTCCGCCAAATGTTAGAACACCGTCATACTTATCGCAGGCCAACTATCGTAGTGTTTCTTGATATCAGGGCGGCCTTCAATTCGTTGGACAGGACGGTTCTCTGGGATTGTCTATTGGAGAAGGGTGTGCCTGAGAAGTTCATTAACATCTTAAAGGCCCTGTATACGAACACCTCAGGCAGAGTGAGGGCATACAACCACCTTTCTCCCTTATTCCATTCGAGCAATGGGGTTAGGCAGGGTTGCCCGATCTCACCATTCCTCTTCAACTTTGCCATCGACGACATCCTGGAAACAGCTCTGATGGATGTAAGTAATGGCGGTGTGGATATGTTGCCTGGAGAACGAATTCTCGACCTTGAGTATGCGGATGATATTGTCTTACTGTGCGATAATGCCCAAGGCATGCAATCCGCACTTAATCAGTTGGTAATCAGTGTCCGCAGGTACGGCATGTGCTTTGCACCTTCAAAATGCAAAGTACTCCTACAAGACTGGCAGGATTCTCATCCTCTACTCACCCTGGATGGTGAGCAGATTGAAGTAGTTGAGAAGTTCGTGTATCTAGGTAGCTACATAAGTGCTGGTGGTGGCGTGAGTGATGAGATTGATGCACGTATAAGGAAAGCCAGAGCGGCTTATGCCAATCTGGGCCATCTTTGGCGCCTTCGTGATGTTAGTCTGGCTGTAAAAGGTCGGATCTACAACGCGTCGGTGAAAGCAGTTTTGCTCTATGCTTGTGAAACCTGGCCTCTCCGAGTCGAGGATGTTAAACGACTCTCTGTGTTCGATCATCGTTGTCTCCGAAGGATTGCTGACATACAGTGGCAACACCATGTTAGTAATGCAGAGGTTCGGCATCGTGTGTTCGTGCGCAGAGACGATAATACAATTGGTGTCACCATCTCGAAACATCGACTTCGGTGGCTTGGACATTTTTTACGAATGTCGTCCCAGAGACTTCCACGTCGTGCATTATTTGCCGACTCTGGGACTGGTTGGAAAAAGTGGAGAGGAGGTCAGTGTATGACATGGCGTCGTGGCATGAAAGAAAGCTGCAAAGGGCTAGCTTCTGTTGGTCCTTCACGACTCCCTGGCTGGGGTCCGAGAGATGGTGCAACACAGTGGCTAGAGACGTTATCAGATATGGCTCAGAATATAAGCCAGTGGCGAACCTGCTGTAACCTTCTTTTACTTTCTACATAAAGAGTGGTTCTAACTTTCTTAACTGAAAGAGTCTTCTGGTTGTACATTTCAGTCCGCCTTATCTTTTCATCCCTTCTCTTCCTACTTTCATTATTTTGTGTGGTGCATATGTACCGGGTGCCATTTTGTACCAATATTTATGTGTTTAAATAAATAAATAAAAATAAATAAGCTTACAACCCCATTGCTAAAACTCTGACACATATTTGGTTGTAAGCAGCTGATGAGAAACCACGAAATATAATGAATTCATACTATTCTGCATCCATATTTGTTCTGTCTTTATTTAAATTTATAAAGGGAACTAACTGCATCAACTCCAATCGTCATGCAAAACTGAATCGTCTGGTCTTAGTGAATGCCATCATAGACTACAGACTTACTCTTCTTACCTATAATGTTGCTCTTGATTTTAATATTCGATTTTTCTATCATATAACATGGTCACATTGTATATATATAATCTACGCATATTCTTACCTTGAAAGCATACGTATTATGATCTTAGAATGTCTGGAAATGGAATACCTTTTGATCATCGGTCGGATATCTTGCTCACCTAACTAGCACTATAGCAAATCGAGTGACAAACAAGTCACTACTGTCTGTATTTAATCTGACAAGTCGGCAACAACTATTAAACAACAGCTTAAAATACTCAGATTTTCCTCAATGTAGGCTGCTAAGTGAAATTGCACTCCGGAAGTGAAAGGGTAAGCAATAATGTGATCTCTAAATTCTGGTGAACATCGGACTTTTAAGCAACGATTTCTTTATAAATTTTTATCTTCACCTGGTTAATTGAGCTTGAGGTTGAATTGGTTTTTGGTAACCTTAATTTCCATATTCAAACGGCTAGCTAGACTTCATTCAAATAAATAATTTGAACCAAGTGAATAATAGAATTAATTAACCACTATGTACGTGTTTAAATGCTAAAAGTCCCATCTATTGTGTGGAGGTTAGTCAGCTTTAGCAAACATATTGTTTAACATAAATGTCTTCACACATAATGATGAGCTTTATTTTTATTTCTTAGAGGTGCTTCAATGGTACGAGAAGTCGGTTGGGTCATATTTGACGAAATTCATTATATGCGTGACCCTGAACGTGGAGTGGTTTGGGAGGAAACCATAGTGCTTTTACCAGATAGTGTTCGTTATGTGTTTCTTAGTGCTACTATTCCAAATGCTCGCCAGTTTGCTGAATGGATCGCTCACCTTCACCACCAACCATGTCATGTTGTTTCATCTGACTGCCGTCCTGTACCACTACGTCATTATCTATATCCTGTGGGTAGTGAGGGTTTGTTTCTCGTATTAGATGAGGTGAGATCTTTTTTGATTTACTTTATTAAATTGATTTATGATTTTTATTTCCTTGAGTAAGAAAGAACCGAGTCACCGCAGTGGCAGATGGGGACTTGTTGATCAAAGGTTAGGTAACGATGCCAATCTCCAGGAACTTTGCGCAAACCGCAATCTTTTTCTGGCTAGCACCCACTCTCGGGACGGTTATCGATGATGTACTGCGTGGGGTTCCTCCTCCGGTGACTCAAGTCGATACGCTGATTACATCGCGATCAGCTACCACTGGCGTGTTTGCATTCAAAACTCGTGCTCTTTTTGCATTACCTATCTGAACTCTGATCATGCCCTGGTTTCACCCAATCTTATCTTACGTCTCAGTGGCCTACAAACTCATCGTATCTAATGGATTAATGTAGACGAATAGACTGCAGCTTCCGTTGCAATCAAAATATCGAAATAAACTAGGTTCAAGGCTTATTATTATTATTATGATTATGATTATGATTATGATTATTATTATTATTATTATTATTATTATTATTATTATTATTATTATTATTATTCTTATTAAAACACGCAGACATTGGTACGATGAGGTACCGAACAGATTTGCACCACATAAATCATTCGATTGATGTGAGGGCTGGGATACTGTTATGTCTTGATCAAGGTCGTCGCTGATTTGTTATGACCTTACGAATTAAACAAGGACGTAATTCGCGTGAATTATCCACCAATAGAATACGACCTTCACACTGTGACAATGACGTTCGATTAGTATGAGTAATCTAGCGTCCTTATTGGTCCTTAATCTGCCTAATCCGTCCACTTGAGTCCAGAACACTAATAGCAGCTGCTGTAATGCGAATCGTTTATTTCAAGCATACTTTGTCTATATACCAGACAGGCAGACCACACCATAAAATAGAAAATAATATTTGTACAAAATCAAGCCAAATGTGGCTGTAAGCGTGAGAGATAGTATTCAATAAACCGAGTATAATTTCGGAACAATAAATCATATAATAATAATCAATAGGTCAAAATGAAGCTTGTAATAGGATGAATATAGACATAGATAATCTAGTTACTGGATAGTTATACAATAGGAATATAAATAGAATAATAGTCTAATAAAAGGTCCCGCAAGTTATCCGTACTTACTTTTTCCCTAGTATATAACAGATACTGCTCGGGTTCCTAAATAGAAACAGGTGGTTTTCTTATGGGGCCAAGCCCCGAGCCTTAGACCTAAAATTTCAATCTACAAGGTAGTGAAGCAACGTAAGGAGATGCAGTCCCATGGTAGCTGGTGACCAACAATAGGTTCATACGTCTTTTGTTTCATCAGGGTCCTGAAGCATATCTGCATCACTGGTTTGGAATCAGGGTTTTCCAACTCCCATAGGTGGATCCTCCATATCCATCGACTCGGTTAAAGCGCCAGACATTCGCTTTTCGTCCTCTCAATTTCGTAAACAAAACCCGTCGCTCAGAATGCAGTGAATAGGACTTCCCTATCAGTGGTTGTATGCACGTGACCATGTGAGAGCATTACGAGAGGGAGAGCTGACTCTCCCCAATCTCGGCCGTGCCAGGTCATTTGGGGCAAGTTCAAGGCCAGCTACAGCTTTACGTGAAAATGTAGATAAACATTGGCTGCGACTGCATAATATCATGGGAATAGGTAGTAAAGTCTCTTTCGGCTTTGCAAAACGTCCCGCTTATAAGTATAGGGTTTCTGCAATCTCTTTATAATTCCTTAAAGCACCTTTGTCTACTTCCACAAATCGAGAGTTTGATGATAAACATAGATTCTTACATATGTTAGTTCTGCCAAGTATGTGTAAAGAACGGGAAGTTTGGCGGTCGAATCATGCTAAAGAGTTGGAAGCTGCAACTGCATCCGGTACCGGCTTAAAGCTGTTTCAGCTCATCCAACTCCCTGACATCAAGAAGTCTGGTGTGATTAAAAAATGTCTATGAAGCAAGTGTAATGACAATCATTAACGTCTAACAGCGTCTTAGATGATGAACAGAGTTTTGAGAGGAAGACTTCAGCTGATATTTTGTTCCAGAATTATCCATCAAGCTGTCTTTTTGTAAGGACGGCCCGTCGGTAGACTCTCGAAAACCCTAAGAAGCCCAGGAAGAGCCGCAGACATTCCATCCAATCACGGCTAGGTGAATGTTCTAGAAATGCCAACGTGGAGCTTCTCCATTGGATGGATTAGTTTGATACCTATGTGCTTATTGGTTGACCTAAATGATAATTTATTTTCAGCCAATAACTATAAATACACGAGATTTCTGTGCTATATTTTGACATTCTTCGGGGCAATAAACTTCCTGCTTACCAGTCTTTGTCTTCTCTCTTTTTGCGACGTTGCGGGTTCTATCGTTCAAGTAGTAGACAGGCATCTGCCTGTCCAAAATCCGTTGTTGGTTGGTACTTTATCTTGAAATCATAGCCCAGTAGTGTCGTTGCCCATCTCTGTAGACGGTTTGCTGTATATACAGGTATACCTTTTTTCGATCCAAAAATTGTCAGCAGTGGTTTATGGTCTGTTAGTAGGGTAAATTGTCTGCCTGTCTGTCTACCCAAGACTGCTCGTACGATTTTATGTATTATTGGACGTTTATATATTAAGAGGGCACGCGCAAGCAATCGATATATCAAACAGACACTCATACGTTATAACAACTGGAGACGGGGTAAAAAAAATGGCTTTAACTTCCGATCAATTTCAGTTGCTAATTCAGAGACAAGAGCAGCGTTTTAAAAAGAGTCAGTTGGATTTCATTGACAAGCTACACGCGACGCTGCTGAATCACCCATGCTTTGGGGGTGCAACGGAAGTTGACGCATTGATTTCTAAATTGCGTACAGAACTGGAAGTCGATTACAGAACAAATGAATATGCAGAGGAAAGCCTCTATGAATCCGCGAAAAACAGTAATTTAGATGCAGCAGTAACAGTCCTACATGATCAGCCCAGTAGTCCGGTACTGCCTGTTTCAGAGACATGCCCTATACACGGTCCAAGTCCTATTAACCCCGAAAACGGACGTGCAAACAGTGGATCAACCTGTTTACAGAAAGACAATGTTTTGCTAAATCCTCATGGAATTACTGTAGTACCCGCCCACGAAGAAACGGGGAACAAATCGGGCAGTATATTGAATACAGTGGCGCCAAATCAAACCAGTCATGATGCAAAAAAGTTTTTTTTATGAATCTAATGATCAAGATTATCTAATTGTTCTGCCAGATCCCGATTATTTTGCTGATTCATATGTTCCAGTTCAAATCTCTTATAAAAATGGGAGAAAAATATCGGATGCATTAAATGATAATCAAGAATACAATACAACTTTCATAGATACTGATTATCCTAATGATTCATTATTTACTAATGAGGTTCCGAGTAAATTCAAGGAAACTGTTTCAGAAGAATCAGACGCTGGTGACCTCAAATCGAATGTCGTCGATTTTCACGATCTAATAAGTTCTCGTGGATTTTCAGTTAAATACGACGAATATGTTTTAAATAGTGTCACAATAATGGTAACTTGGGTACATGAGGATCCAACAGTCTTTCGTGGGGGAGGATGAATTCGAGAAATTAAAAATCCGGATGTCAACTCCGGATTTCTCAAAAAGGGGAGGTGTTATATCCCCTGGTGAATTATGAATCGTAAATCTGAGGTCTATTATCGACCAATGTATTATGACTATTTCTTATTGTACAGTTGTTACGTAACTAAATTATTCATATTCGTTTTCTCTTATCATGAGCTTTATTTTGATCTTTGATTTATGATCATACGATTCTTGAGTTATAATCAGTTTATTGATTACTTTGGTTTGTATAAAAACCCAATGTGTTTGTAAATAATGATTCATATTGCCGAGGCTGTTATTTGTGTTCTGAACTTAACGGGCTGGGCTAGGCAGATAGGAAGGACCGAACAGCACCCAATACTGTTCGTACGATTTCAAGTATCAATTACGTCCGATCAATAAATCCACTACCCCTCCAATCGCACGTTCATATATATTACGGGCGCACACGATATAACAATAACTATCGAGGGATAAGTGTGTTTCCGGTTGCATTCAAACTATTGACTCCAATCATACTTTACAGTTTGTTTGAAATCTGTTAAATATTGACTCTGTGTTCAGTCATCGTTGACTTTGACAGACTACTGACAACCAGTAGTAATACCATGTTATTAATACAGTGAATTCTATACTGTGTATTATTTGCCGATGGTGAGACGGGGTTTAAAAACTACAGAACTGATCAGTTTATGATATAGCTCCATGGTTTTAAAGAAAACTTTAAAGGACTAGCACTTATCTGTCCTTTATGACTCCTTTATTTGAGTTATTGAAATGGTTCAGTTCAGCAGCCTTAAATGATATCAGATGTGGCTCAAAACGAAAACCAATGGCAGTTCTGATGTAGTTTTTGACATTTTTGGTAAACATGAAATGAGCTTCCTTAACTGAAAGAAGTCTTTTTTGGACGTATTTTTAACTGAACTGTATCTCCCATCTTATAGTATTCTTGTTCGCTTGTATTTTCTTCGACTTGACTCTCCCTCTTTTATTTCTCCATAACACTGTCTCTTTGTTGTGTGTCGAATACAATCTTTGGTACTTAGTTATACCAAATTTTATATGATGGGAAATATTGTCCGTAAATCCTATGAGGAAATTTGTTCAGTATATTGTTTATAATTTGATGTCCTTAGCAAGTGGGATGTATGCTCTTATTAATAACCATTAAAAAATCACTCTATGGTAAAGTTTATAGAGAAGCTGTGACAGTATTTTATGTGGCTATGTATTTTTTAAAGGTTTTGCCTACAAGAATGTCACAACTTATTCATATTCTGAAGGTTATTACATTTAGAATGTTTGTGAAATGCTCATAAAAGGTGTGACTTAGGGAACAGCTAGCAGGTGAAAGCTTTCTGTGACCTGGAAAAGTACACTTTGTTATGGGAATACTGATCTAAACTATTTTGAGTTTATGCGAGTCCCCTACCTAAGTGGATATGAGCAGATGATAAGTAATTATGTATATCCTCGTCTTTTGTAATTGATATCAGCTTGTTTAAATGTTTTCTTATAGGGTAAATATTTGGAACAAAATTTTGAACGAGCTATGCGCTCGTTTCTTTCGGATGAATCATCAAATAAAAGGCAAAAGTCACAAGTTGATTATAATAAACGTGAGTTACCTATTTTCTCATAATATTATGCTCTAAGATGTATCTGATTTATCTGAAATCAATTTAAATCATTGTCGAATACTTCAATTCCTAACAATTAATTAATATCAAGAATGGCGCATACTGTTTACACAAATTCTCGTACTTCGTTACTAAGTTAAATTTGTTGGAAATTATAGTTGTTAAGTGGTAAGCAAGCAGTACCTGCAAAGTTCCTAATCAACCTTCATTATCTAAACATGGACTAGTTCGGGATTTTGTCGATTAGCGCTACAAACTTTGGATACTGAGTTTATAAAATATGATAATCGTAAAGTAAATTTGTATTAATCTCAGCAATTGAGTTGAATTAATTCCAGTGTTTTTTATTCGGTAATTTCATCTGATCTTCTCTATACCTAAGGAAGGATGGATAAACAATTTCTTATTTCCAATTATTTTACGTTGTTGATTCTATTTATAATGAGTGTAAGTTATTTCATATGAGTAGTTGTAGTATGTGATGTGTATTAATGTAACTTGATTTCAGTGATTATATAACGCTAAAGAATATGTTCATAGTCATACTAATCACTGTGGTAATCGTCTGCATTTATAAAATTGGAAATATAGAACAGGTAATGCTTGCTCAGGATATATGGTATGTATGTCAAAAGTATTTGGAAACATGTCAAATCGAAAAACTTTTTTGTTGTTGTCCATAACAGTGGAGTTTAATGTGAATATGGAAATCGGTGACAAATTTCCTATCTATTGAATAATAGTTAAGTGCCAAAATGCGGTTAGTTGCACTCTATCCTATTTATTAAGAGCATCTAAATTCGCCAGTATGTATGGGGTTCATAGTGTCAGCCTTTCTTAGTTCTGATAATTTCTCTGAAGTAGCTCGGTCTGAGTCTTCTCGATCCATGTGATATATACAATTATCCCTTTCTTTATAATATTTTCCCCTTATTTTTGTATCATCCATAATTATTTTATTAAGTGACAGATTAAAGTCTTGTAAAATATTATTTGTTTAAGCCAGTTTTCATTCTCTTCAGAAAAATTTTCACTGCATATTATCTACAGGAGTTATGTTTACCAAATTTCACCAAGTGGGAGCATTTTAAAGTTCTTTGTGTTTTAGTGTGTTTGTCAATTTAATATCAAATTGTTTCCTCTTCAGATTATTTTAATTGTATTTTAGTTTGTGTACATCATCTTTTTCTCCGGTCGTTAGTGTTGGTATCTAGTATGTATGAGTTACTCTGGAATGTGCAGAACTTCATCTCAGAACTCCCCACAGTGTTGTGTCACTTTGGCCAATTTCTTCCAAAAAAGTCATGACTGTAACTAGTATTCTAATTACACTTTGCTGAATAGCTCAGGCATTTATGATACGTAGTTTCTGTGGTGTAGTCACAACCAGTAATTAGTTTTTATGTAACCACTTACTTTATGCGCTTTCTTTTAGGCTCTGAAAATAATGTCATTCAAATTGTTCGTTTGGTCAAACATCGCAGTCTGGAACCGATAATTGTATTTAGTTTCAGTAAAAAGGAGTGTGAAATCTATGCACTCCAATTAGCCAAATTTGATTTCACTACTGGTATGTTTATTTTTCCAAATTTTGTAGGTTGTAATCTAAGTCTTCCATGTAACTCCGATCCCAATATTCATAATTATTTTAGCAATGTTTCATGGATTAATATTAAAAAGTATTCATTGTTATATCCAGTGATATTAGACTTCTTTTTGTGTCTAGTTACCTTTATCGCCTTTTTACGCTAAGGTTTATTAAATAAAGTTACCTCAATTTTCTCGTGTTGTCTTTACATCCTTGATGTTCCTCACCAAGTCTTGTTTATCAATGCTGAGACTATTTAGAAGGTCTATAACCCAGACAATTATTAGTGTAGCTCTGTAGAATAAAAGTTAGGGTTAACATCTGTTAATGTATCATGGCCGTATAAAGCATCCAGTCTGAAAGCATGTAATTTAATGTCTTGAAACACCTTATAATCCTGTACAGAATCAAAGTTACTTGTGATTTTGCTGTAGCGAGAAATTCTACATCATATACCTTTATCGTTTTCACAATTTTTTCATATTTGATATCCGAACCTTGATTGTCCTTAGGTTTTCCAATGTTTTCAGTAACGTACAGTGGCACCTTTTATTTTTTCTTATGGTTTAATACTTCTAATCCTATCACCTTTATTATTTGTTGATTGACAAATTCTAAAATTATTGTTATCGGTTTTCCGCGTTTAGATGCAGAGAAAAAAGTCGTTGATGAAGTATTCCGCAATGCTATCGATGGTCTTTCGCCTGAAGATCGCTCATTACCACAAGTTGAGAGTGTCTTACCATTGCTTAAACGTGGTATTGGCATACATCATGGTGGTCTTTTGCCTTTATTAAAGGAAACTATAGAAATATTATTTTCTGAAAATTTAATTAAAGTAAGCCTTCATTTTATATCTGTTTACACAGTTGTCTTACAACAACTGTATATATAGGGGGTGTATATTGGTATCATTCATATGTGTTACACTCTTTTAGTTTTATCATTAGTAAAAAAATCCAGTAGTTTCACACTTATCCTTAGTGTAGTAGTTTTTTACTATCGACACCTCGTACTCTATTCTATTGATCGAGGTAACTAGTTCCTATTTTATATTCATCCAACAATCATCTGTTTCGGTCAACGTGCACTAATCACGGAATAATAAAGTATTGTGAACGGTTCAAGTTGCTAAGTGGTAATCTATTGGAAATTCATGAGTTATTGTCCGTTGATCTGAATTAGAATCCATGCATGCAAGCAAAAGTACGAAAACTTTGCAATACCGGTTCCAGTACATAGACTTTGTGACAATCAGGCTGTAAGAGCTGATCTGATCAAAGCCTGTTTTCATGAACATGTTAATTTATTTACTTATTTCACGTTTGTATACGGCTGTCGATTACTTTTTCTGTGACACCAGTAGAACAAGAGAAACTTGTTTAAATACAGTATGCCGATAGGTCCATATTGTACTAACCGTATATTATTGAATAAAGTCCTTAACAGAAATTGCTTTATTAATTGATATTTCTCTTATCTAATCTCATCTGTTTTTATTGTTAGATGAGATAAACTATATCTTTTCACTTTAGCATGCTTTTCATAAATGAATCACATTTCTCCACCTGTACTTATTTGACCTATAGTTTACAGAAACCGTTGATAAGTTTTGAAGATGAAGTCGCTCTTTATGTTCTGACGTTAATATAGTGATTGTCATGTATAAGTGAAACTGTTGGCACTATCTCTATTTAGAATTTTCCAGCAACATGTGTTTTACTGTTCTTATTAATATAGTCAGTCACAAGTAACTTAGATTCTGATAAATATTGGGATCGCTCCCGACTTGTACCATGTCGACACAAAGATGAAATAATCACAATGAATACCAAAGTGGTAGAAGTAGTAGTATCAATGGTAGTAAAAAAGATTAGACATAGAAGTATGTTTTGAGAAGAAAGGAAGAACTCGAATAACAATAGGTATAAAACAATTTTGAAACTTAAGATCTGTGAGAGGACAAAGAGTGAATACACCTTCGACATTATGACCTACTCATATCCGTCACCCAACGTCTATAATCATCGGTCGCGGTTGTGTGAACCACAGCTAGATGATATGCTTCTTTCAACATGACTTAGATCCACAGTCTATGACTCCATAGGCTGCTGCCACTTTTCATCTGACTGTTCTTGGCTTTCTTTGAACCTAGTTTTACATCAGCTAACATCTTCCAGCAAGTTAGGCGGTGGTTGAACATACGTAACACATGTCCCAAACACCTCAGTCGATGAAGATTCACAACTCTACCAATAGATTTGCCGCATTTTCTCGGCAACATATACGTACTCTCAAATTGGTTGTTCCACAAAAGACGGGCAATTCTTTAAAAACATATGTGATCAAAACCTGCAGCTTCACCATGTCTTCTACTTATAAAGGTCATGTTTCATGGCCATAAAATAATGTAGGTCAGTGTAAAATGCTCTTTGGTTCACAGATGGATATCTCGCCTACACCATAAGTGGCGCAACTTGGCGAAAGCCAACCGAACCATCTAAATCCATGTCGTAAGTTTATCAGGTTAATAAAATATATCATTACTGTAAATGTATGTTTCAAGCAATTTTTGGTAACTTATATTTACTCAATATAAGTGGTGTTATTAACTTGGAAACTTTAAGATTTCTGAGGAATCCTGAGTCAGCATCATGGTATATTTACAAGTGAGTGGGTTTCTAAAGTCTACATTCACAATTACTTTGATGATTATTCTTTTCAATCATTTACTGTCAACCCCGACATTTTTTTGCTTATTGTTTTATATGGATATTTAGTGTCTGTTTGCTACAGAAACATTTGCCATGGGTTTAAATATGCCTGCGAGAACAGTCCTATTCACCTCGGCTCGTAAATATGATGGACAGTCTTATCGTTGGGTACGTAGATACAATCTTTGACTAATTCGATATTTGTCTGTTTTTGAATTTCTTGTAACAATAGAAAATCGATTTTAACATATTCTCAAAGACAAGAAGACCACAAAATCTGTTATTATGTGCGATTAAATTAGTTGTACCAAAGAAAATCTCATGCTCCATGACTATAATTTCCTCCAATTTTACTGGTTTACTTTTATGTTAAAAATTTGCTTACCTATACTAGAACATGTGATGGGCTGTGTAAAATTGGATTTCAAACAAAAGTATTGTGCAAATATTGGAGACAATCGTCTTTACAAACCAACTAGTTTATATATATATATATATATATATATATATATATATATATAATCAAAACGAAATAATTTATCATTTCACATATTTAGTATACCTTATCTAAAACGCTTCTGTTTTTCTTTTTTCATTCTCTGATTCTTGATAAGTTTGGCAAATTATAAAGGTCTGAGATAATAGTCAATTTCTAAGTTCATTCATAAACCACAGTGGTCTACATCGAGAGCCCGTAAATTTGGTTAAGGTTTGCTTTAAAATGTAAGCTACGAATAACATGCTTATATTTTTGTCTTTTTTTCTTTAAAGATGTACATATATTGTAGTATCGTGGTTCGTTAAACTCCGTACTTGGACCTCTTCAATAAATGCGACTGCCGTTAGTGTTACGATCACAAATCGAAACTCGTATCTTAAGGATACTCTAATTACCGGTTAAATTGTAGAGATTAAAGTGATGAACATATCAATCAGTTTAACTATGTTTAGTCTGAGTAGCTGATAGAATCGTTCCGTGTTGTAAAAGTTAGCCTAAATTTTCTGGATTACTTCAGTTTCAGCGTTGATATAATGTCTAGTTGTTTATCCATAGTCGTATTAACAACACAAGATCGTTCAATATTCGTATGTAGCTCTGTATTTTCTGGATATTCATCATGTATTGTGTTAATTCTAGTTTTTGATTACCAGTATCACCGTGTCATCCCTTACGTTTGATCGAATTGTGAAACAATTATTGAAATAATAATGAAATACACTGTAATTTGTGTCGCAAAGTGGATTAGTGGCTTTGTCGTTGGTACACTCTAATGCCAATTAATAGACTAGTTTCAAACACTACCTCATACCCAGTTTGTGGATTCAGTACCAATAGTCTTCACATCTGATACATGGTTGAAAACGGAGTACATAAACCTATATTTGCTGAATAAGTTGCATCGTATAGTTTAAACTGGTTTCTATCAAAGTGTAAATCAATGATTAGGAAATTAGTAGTTCATTTTATACAGAGTGAATGTACTTTCTGATATTTATTCTCTGTTATCTACAACCATTAGTCCGTATTTAACTTTTTCCCGTTGCTTCTATTATATTAAACTGCTTTTAAATGTTACAACTTGATTTTATTCACAATTATATCAAATTCTACGTTAATAAAAAAAGTCAACCTTTTTTCGTAATCACACAGTGTAATCTGTATGTTTGACTATTATTATTCTGTAATCTTCTGATCAAGTTTGTTACTTAACCACTTTTATCTAACTTGTACTACTTTAGTTTTCCAACGTCTTGATCTCCTATAAGAACATCAATTTATAATGCTTAGATAGACTGAATACCTTTGTTTTCCTGTATAAGGTTCCTATCATTTTGATTTTCTGTTTCTCTGTCAGATGAAAATTTTTTCGCATATCCATAACGTGTATTTTGTATAACAGTCTGCTCTATTCGATCATTGTTGTATAAGTGAACATACGAGAATGGAAAAGCAAAACACACGGTGATATCAAAATTTCACGTCAACTTATATTACCAGGTGATATTTTTATAAATGCAATAAAACTGAATAGTGATTGTTTGCATTTATAACTCTCCAAGACATTACTTTCTATATTGTACAAATCAAATAATATCTAGATTTAGTTTCTTCCATACAAAGGGTTAAATACTTAAAGGACATAAAATAAAGTTGAGTCGACTCTGACCAATAATTTACTGAAGCAGTAAAATGTCCTGGGCAGGAGGATATTATAAGACTCCCATGTAAATAAATAAACCTGATTAAACTCAAAAGTTTGTGTATATCAAGCCTATCATGTTTATAAAAAATTCATAATTCCCATTACCAAGTTGTAAATCTAAAGTAAATAAAAATATTTTTAATGGCTGTTAGAATGTTATTAAGGTTTGTTGCTTAAAAACCACATTGCTGCAACACCGATGGTATACTGTGATAAGAATTGCTTCCTCTGTTTAGAATTAAAGTAAGTGTTTGACTCTTTTATGGTCAAAACTAGATTCTTATGGATATTCATATTATACTGTCGATTCAAGATGAATAAGAAATCTTCCGATATCGAGTAGGTCCCAATGTAGTCTGTTTATGAATGTTTATCATTCACAAAGAAAATACTGATATTATAATTTCCTCATATATATGGACCAAGCAATAATCCACTGAGTGAATGTAATAAGGTGAAATACATAGTGTATTGAACAGACATCATTATCAGGTTGTCTTAAAATACATTAGCTTTTGAATGTAGTAGTCACAGTCTATTTATGCACTATACTTTATTTTCATTCTTATCAGATATTTCTTGTTGAAACGAAGTTTTCATACTGAGAATCCACTTTGACCTTTTCTGGTGACCACGATTATATCTTAACACTTGAATGAATATACGTTACTTGTTACTGTATTTTTCCTGACAGTTGATATAAGCTGTTTTCCCATTGGAGGTATTTGAATAACGGCTATTTCCTGGGTGGCTTCTACTCTTAAACATCATCATCATGAAAATAACTTTTAAATTATTTGAAAGCATGTCGTTATATTTATCTGGAATCAATTATGAATAAACCTTATAACTGTAGAGGTTACAGATGTGTGGAATTTCAATGAACATTCATGTCTTGTATGGTTGACTGATTACTCTGTGATATTGTTACCGGTAAAAAAATGGGGGAAAGGTTCAAAGCTTATGGAAGTTAGAGGCGAATTAAATGACCTACAGGATATCGAGTTTGTTTCTTTTTATATGGACATCATGGGCATATACTCTACAGCAAACGACGTAATATGCATCAGCTCTTCAGTACGTTAATTTTCACTAGCTATTTTATTGATACTGATTAATTGTAAAAGCCATTGTTCAAAAAATATTAGTACCTTTAAAACTAAAATTTTATTATTAATTATTTCATATAGATAACATCAGGTGAATATATTCAAATGTCCGGTCGTGCTGGTCGTCGTGGTAAAGATGATAGTGGTACTGTAATTCTAATGGTTGATGAAAGTATGACCAGTGAATTGGCTCATCAAATTATGATGGGTCCACCACCCCCACTGAATTCAGCTTTTCATATCACCTATAATATGCTATTAAATTTATTGCGTGTTGAAGAAATTAATCCAGAATACATGATGGAGAGAAGCTTTTGCCAATTCCAAAATTTCTCCAGTCTTCCTAACATGTATAAAGGTAGTGTTGATTTGATTGGAAATTTCAAGTAGTATCCCAGTTTTATTTGGATAGGTTTACGAGTACTTTATACATACACACTCATACCTTTATTCCATAAAAAAACTTTTTGAACTATGAGTAGTAAAGCAATTAATTCTGTTTTGTGTCGGGACGTCTCCCGGTGAACTCTAAGCTCTGAAAGAGCCGAAGACATTCCATCCAGTCATCGTTGAGAAAAACATTCCAGAGTCTTGACGTGTAGCTTCTCGATTAAACAAATTCTAGAAACCACTGCATGAGCATTGGCTAATTATAATAATGGTTTAGTTTTTACTAGAAACTATAAATACCCGTTTTTGTACCATTTTTGACACTGGTTAGAATAATATTTCTTTCCACTCGCCTTCTGTCTTCTCACTTGTGACTTAAAGGGTTCGAGCATTCGAGTACTCAAGTTGTACGCGGTATATCAAAAATTCAAGTTCTAGATATAGCATTTCTAGTTTAATTTACAAGTGTCACAGTAAGCATTTCATTGATCTATTCCCTATTTTCATGCTGGTGATTTAATTATTCGAAATTTCCTTCAAAAATCTCTTTTATGTTTGATTTTTAAGGAGAAGACTGTAACTTTCTTGTTTGTTTTGTATAATTGCCATTAATTTTCATATTGCAAACAATAACCGTTACCACTAATTTCGTTTCAGGCCTCTAAACGACTTATCAGTTCCTCTTCTTCCTGTCATATATCATCAAATATCTTCCAAAATTTTTTTAAATATTTCTACTGTGAATCCCTATGGAAATTTAATTTTTGGCTATCACTGATAAGCTTAATATTCTAAATTAAGCGTAGGAAGTAGCTACCTTCTAATGCACATATGTATAATTTGGTTTTTATTATGTTATAGTCTTGTTGCTCACAGTATGGATTGACAGAGTAGTTAAAATAGACAGTTCAGACTACTATCGTGGCGGATACTGTTAGTCAATTTAAACGGATTTTCTGTTATATGGAATAACACCTGTCTGATACCTTTACTTTAGGAAATTTATCAGTATTCCGAAAGTTATATCATTTACTTCGTACTTCGTATCTTATTTATTATAGTAGACTCAAAGAATAATATCAGTTTATCGAGTGATTTGTAATTACTACTACAAAATGGTTACCAAATATTCAAATTTACATAATCACTAATGAATGTTGCGATCCCTTACCTCTCTCATTAGTTAATTCTTCACCACCATATTTCAATGAAGCTTATTTCAAAATGTAGTCTTCAAAAGTATTCATTTTGCTTACTTTTAGAATTGAATGAATTACGTGCCACTTATGCATCAACTGTTGTTGACGATGAAGAATCCGTCGAGTCCTATCACCAAATTCAATTATGCTTCGATGAACTAGTTGGACAGCAGTGGCAGTATATAAGACGTCCTCAGTACATAGTACCTTTTCTTCAACCAGGTCGTCTTGTTAAAGTAAGCATGGATATATATATATATATATATATATCACTGTCAAAGTAGTACTTTAGGTTGAATATAAATAATTCCAAGTAGACTAACTACAGACAGTAAAATAATTCCATGAAGTTGTCATTAAACATTAATTATAACTGCTGTGATCATCAGTACCAAGATAATTAAATTAACCAATAAATCATATATAGCTATTTGGCTGGGCGATATAACATCAGTACTCCATATTTAATGTTATATTTTCTATTTAGTAAATCCGTGAGATGTTTTTTTCGTATACTGCAAGAAAGGTTTTGCAGCTTTACAAAATGAATATTCTCCCTGAACCGTGTATCAATTGATGTCACTCTGATCAGAAGTCGTTAAATCTTTTTATTCTCAGTTACGTACGTATATGTGAGGAATCCTTTAGGAATGGTGTTTCCAGATTTCATTACACATAGTTTCTTATCATAAATGACAGTTTTTAACTAGATTTAAATAGTGATATAATTAAGACGATAGTTTACTTTCAATAAATTAGTTTCAGAGTACACTGATTCTAATGTCTCATCATGAATGGATGTGTGGTATTTACTGAAAAGTGGTGTTACGTAAGTGCTTTGATTTATTTTAATTTCTCCACGGGTTTTATTTTAGATGTTTAGAGGTCACTGACAAGAAAATCTGATGTTTCGTCAGTTGGTATTCATTGAAAAAGTAATCTTAAAAAATTGTATAGCACTCTGGTAGTTCGTTGTGCATCGAATATATCTCTGTGATTTTTAGTCATTTATTCAAGTCAAATGTTGATTGTTATGAGGAGATCCGTTCTCAAAATATAACAAATTTATTTACAATGACTAATTTTTTTAGATATATGCATCTCAGGATAATTAGCAATGATTAAAGCATTTAACCTGATTCACTCTGGTACCATTTCTAATATTCTAGTCTTAAGTCAATGTGCTTAAGGTTATTCTTAGAGTTTATAATAATAATGATCAAAGATCTAAGTATTCTTTACGTCTGTATATTTCTTTTGTCATATTTCTATTTATCTCTTCTGGAATAGATTGTTGTTCAATCCATCTCGTATGGATGGGGAGCTGTGATCAATCTGAAAAAACGTCAACGTAAAGATAGATCATCTACGCCTGAATCATTTTATATACTTGATTGTTTATTATGCAACAATCCATCTAGATCGGATTCAGATGAATCTAGTTCTGATGTACCTAGTGGAAATCCAGTAGATAACTTGGGAATTACAAATTCAGTAACTCCTACTGGTAGTGATACATTACCGATGGCTGAGATTATACCTGTACGATTGGATTGTGTTGTTGGTATTAGTGCTGTACGTTTAGTTGTTCCAAATGATCTTCGTTCAAAAGAGGCTAGACAAGGTGTTTTAAATGCAATAGAAAAGGTGAAAGTACGTATGGGTGGTAGTTTGCCAGTTTTAGATCCTATTGCAGATATGCACATTAGTGATCCACGATTTCTGGAAATAAACGAGGTAAATATAAAGAAATGTGTACGTTTTAAAACTTCATTTTTTAAATTTTGAATCTAGTTTTTTTACGGACTACCATCGGCTGGAAAAGTAGTTTTGAAACTAGTAAGTACTGTGTAGCTGCATCTTCCTTTGGCGCTCATCAGTAATGGACACTAATCTTTACACTAGCTTAGAATTACTTTGAAAAAGCTGGACAGCTTAGGCACATTGATTGTTAATCTGAGCCCTGTCGATATCTAAACACTTCCCGGCTGGGGTTCTTATTATAACCGTAGTTTATGGTTATAGACGTTGAGTAATTTTCTAAGTCTCACTAGTTAAATTTCACTCATCCTCAATCGTCCATTAAATTTTGATTTATTGTATATTCACATTCTTTGATCCGATTTATTCCCGTTGATTATATGTTTTTGTAAGCGGGTCTGTATTTAATATTCTAATCTGCATACAAATTTGAATAATACATTATCTCACAACTTTGTGAATTCTTTTTTTTAAATAGAAAGTTACTGCTTTTCAAGAGAGATTACAGCATCATTGGCTTCATGATGACCCACGTCTTTCAGAACTTTCAAAAGTTTATAGAAAGAAAGAGCAACTTCGCAAACGTATCGATGCTCTTACAGCTAATTTGAATAGTAAAGTTTCTTTAATTCAACTGGAAGAACTATCGGCTCGTAAACGTGTATTAAGACGATTAAATTTCGTTTCCGAATATGATGTAATCGAATTAAAGGGTTGTGTAGCCTGTGAAATCACCTCAGCAGATGAGTTATTATTAACAGAACTTTTATTTGATGGAGTATTCAATAGACTGTCATCTGAACATATTGCAGCATTACTTTCTTGTTTTGTATTTGAGGAGAGAGCTTCTGAAATGCCTAAATTAACTAAAGAGTTATCTGATGCTTTGCGTACATTACAAGTAAGTCGTTGTAAATCATATTCTTGATACTTTTATATATATCGTTAGTAAGTGCTTAGTGCTAAGAATTTTTAAAATCAGATGCGATGGTTGTCAAAACTTTTCGTGAATTTCATTTATTTTTCACTTGTTGGTTCATTATGAAATCTTTTTAGATTATCATCAGTAGTAATTGATTCAGCTTCCAACCAATACGTTTCAAAATCGAATCCCATCTCATCGGTTTGATTTGGATAGCTGGGTAGTATCACTAGCCCTCATACAAACAGTCTGACTCAAAGCTAATTACGTAAATATATGCTTTTTAATAAATCTACAATATTACATCTAAATAGTCGAAATCTATCTATCATACTGATTATCAATCATTATGAATTTCGACATCACTCGTACTTCTTTCAGAAACTGAAATAAGCACCAAAGTTATGGTTGGAATGGAATCTGTAAGGTTTTAAATGTGTTCAGATATAATCCACTATTTCCCAGTTAATTAACCTACTTTTCACACTTTTCTCTTAAGATTTATCTAAATTTTAATCGTTAAACACAGAGATGTTGGCTTCCAAGCTGTCATGAAAAGTATGTACTGTTGCTGATAACGTTGAAATCGGGTTTCTAAATAACTATATGAACAACACGATTTTAAATGCATGAGCTGATTCAATTTAAAATATCGAAAATTAGTTCACCGTAGAGTTGTCTTTTCAGCGTATTTATTTTCAAAACTGTATTTAGACTAGCTCCTAGAACAAGTCGAGTAACACATGTAAAACCACTAGTAATAACTTAACGGGATCTCCAACTGATAAGATTATTTTAGCATTTCTGTGCCAACTAAGCCGATCTTTCACCATGTTAACTGACCATCTTTACTACCTGATTTCCATCATTTCCTTCAATATAACTGTAATTTACTTTAATGTCTTACATTTTGTAATAAACACTTGACTCCTCATCTTTATATTTAAAGTTTAACACCCAGTTTACTTGCACCTGTAGAGTTAGTGTAATAAAGCACCGTTTACGAGCAATAGCTTATTAGTTAATGCACGCTACTTGTTACCACTAGACTATGTTAAAATCACCTTCCTCCTACTTCACTTTCGAGATACAGTTATTGTCACGATTCCATGCTCAAAAACTAACTGGATATCATCATCACTGGTTGTTGTTCATTGCTTTTTATATATAATTATTTGTAGTTAAGAATAAGCTATATATACATAGTAACCCAACTACTTAACGTGTACTTAGTCATGCACCACATAATTTGATCCCGATTTTTCATTAAGTCTGCTTTTCTTATTAAATTACATCTTCCACAAATTCCGAGGTTTAAACTGTAACCATCTCTCTATATAATTAAAATACTTTGCTGGTGGGATAATTGTTCCAGTATTTCAAAAATATGCCAACTATAACTCACTAACTTCACATAAATTAGTGTTTCTCTCGATATCCATGAGGGATATTAAATTGCGTTTGGGTGAAATTTTGAATTCATTTTTTAATGAATCTATGTAAAAATCCACAGGAAAATTACACGTTGTTCGATTTTGTTTTTATGGTTATAAAAAGTATGGTTTGTTCGTTTTACTTTTCATCTCGATCAATTTAATATCTTTTTGTACACAGGATACGGCCAGACGTATTGCACGTATTAGTAACGAATGTCGTCTCCCAGTTGATGAAGATAATTACGTCGATTCATTTAAACCTCATTTAATGGATCTTGTTGATGCATGGACAAGAGGAGCATCATTTGCTAGCGTTTGTTCTATGACAGACTTGTTCGAAGGCACAATTATTCGTACATTAAGATTACTTGAAGAGTTATTACGTCAAATGGCTAATGCAGCTAGAACAATTGGTAGCAATGTTTTGGAAAAGAAATTTGTTGAGGGTTAGTAGTTACTATGTCTTTATTTTATTGCTTAATATGACGTATGAAGTAGTGTATTGAGTAGTGTCGGCTACATAAGTTCTGGATGTATTGAACCCATTTTTAGTGTAAGAAAAATTGAAAATATTCACAGTTGTGGCGCTAGTGATGCATGATATTTGCCAAAATCATTTGGACGTTTCAACTCGGTTGTGATTTCTTTTAACGTAACCTCTGTCTTTAAACATGGGAAAAACATCGAATCTAGTAACTGCACTCAAAGTTATACGTTTACGTCTTTAATAAGCAGCACAATCGCGAGAAATTCTATAGTGTTATTTACTTGACTCATTTGGGGTAAATATTTTTTATTTTATTCTTTTGACTTATTTCAACATGTAGGGTTATGTGTACTTTGTGATATATATATATCCTAAATAAGAACAAAAGATCCTTTAAGACATAGTTTGCTTTTTTATCTAATTGGCTGTAGACTTTGTTGACTTATGTTTGATTTGACTTGAATAATAGGAAAACGTGATGTGATCTTGTTTTCTCTCTCTCCAAATATCCATCTACTATGATAAAGTGCGTGAAAATGAAGGATATTCGAAATCATACGTATGAATTGTCTCTAACGTCTAGTTTTTCGTAATGTAATCTAGTAAAAGACTTTTACCCTGATTGTTTTCAGCATATTTTCGCTTTTTGAGATTGTGATTTTCTGCATTTATCTCCTTTTTGTTTTAGCTATCGAAAAAATCAAACGGGATATCGTTTTTGCAGCTAGTCTTTATCTTTGACCAATGGTGTTTACTGCATACACTATTTCTAAAGATTCTTTGCGCTTTTTTAATCACAATACATATACATATATGCTGTGCATGGCACGTCTTCTGATTATTAATAGTCTACCTAATTAGTTGACACATAGTTTTACCAGTATAATCTATCATGTTGTCTCGGATAATTTCTAACACTTGTGTAAATTTGTAACTAGGTTGGTGCGAAAGTGTTACGAAATCACATGTCGAACTTGTAGCACTTCAGTGACCTCCAGATGAATTCAAATATTAATTACTTGGTATTGAAATCTTGGGCTGTAACTCAGTTGATCATTTTTCAACTTTTCAGCATTAGCTTAAATATATTAATAAGTTAAAGCAAAATAATAATCTGAAAGACAGTCATGACATTCTCAAGAAAGTTGACAAACCAGTACTACTTCAAATCCAATTGATCTTCTGAACATGATTAGTGACGGTAAGATAAAAAATTTTGTTTAGTGAGGCTATTCGAACCTCACTGAGTGTAGCTGATTGTGCTAGAGTCGTGCTGGAAAACACAATAGTGTTAGTTATCCATTCAAATCATCCATTTCAATCCCTTTCAGTACATTTTATGGTGGATAGGATAAGACTTTTGTAAGGTTAGCTATTCTTATTTACACAAAGATAAGAGGCAGAGATGAAAGTTTGTGAACGTCCTTGAACTACTTTTTTGTCAACGAGTCAATATGGTCTAGTTATCATGATAAAGTAATAAATAATAAAGTAATAAAATTATTATTGATAGACATTAATAGCAAACTTATATATTTGAATTTTTGGGATTTTATCACGAACGGATATCAGCCATAATGCAAGGATTAATATCCCGTCAACATTTTCTTGATATATGCCAACTTTTGTCACGATACAAAGACTCAGCAAGAATCGTCGAATATAAGCATAGTGACAAGGTAGATGACAATCTAAACGACAGGAATTGTCGTGAGTATTCGCTACTATATTGATTTGTCGGTTAGAATGCTAACCCTATTTGAAAAAATACCCATATACAATGGTCATTTAGGGGTCCTGGGGGCTTCATGCTTCTCTCAGAACATTTCGACTTAGTCCGAATATCAGATGTTTCCTTGTGACCGATGATTATCGTGGTTGCCTCATAATATTGGAAATCGTATAGTGGAAAGTTCGACGGTAATTCTTTTTCACTCGGTCAATGTCGACGCTCCCCGTTCCGTTCTTGTCGACAGTATAATACTTACGTTCACGATAAAGAGATTTATAGGGTCCTTGATAGACAGTATCAATGGATCGGCGTAATGAGTGTACTAAATCTTGAGGCTGGTTGGACGAAGAAGTCATTTGTTTGTGATCGGATGGGAACAAGTTTAACTGAATACAAAATGTTTGCAAGCTAGCTTGGCTTAGTAGTTCAGATCCCCATTCACTTAAACCAAAAGATCTAAATCTTGACTGGGATCAACCGTCTGTAAGAACGTTTGAAGGGCACTGGAAGTTTGTGCTCCATTGTTCGACTTTATACTCTAGCTAAAATATCTTTGATGGGTACTGCTACTTGTCTTTGTAATGTATATAATACCTATTATTTTTCTTTCATAAACATACTCTAACCATTGCACTTACTCTGACATTACTCAATATTGCTAAACTTGTTAAGTCTTTTGAATATTATGTAAACATTATTGAAACTTGTCAGTAATCGCGTTTGTGATGAAACTCGAAATAATTTCTTCACAACACATGCATAAATATGTTGTTTGTGAGCAACAATTACAACTCGCGAAAAATCCATTTATTCCTTTTACGGCTGAGTGAGTTTAGAAGTAAAATTTATCGTAGAAAAGGCATCCGAAAATACATTGTTTACTCCCTGATAGTTTCCAATTCCGTCTCTAAATTCCACAGGATAAATACATTAAGCGTCACTAACTTCTTCCAGAAAATCGATACCAATGGTTCCAGTTTAAAATATCTGAATGTTAACAGTAATGCCGTTTTGGTAGCGTTAATGAAAAGCAGGGGTCATGGACTAGAGATTGGATCCTCTGTATGCACTTACAACAGAGGAGTTATGAATATTTGCAACCAGTAAGTCGAGACCACAGGAGAAGTTAATGAATCACTTGAACGATCGAGCAGTTTCTTAAACCGGAGGCCGAAATTTGACGTTTCGTAAAGGGGTGTTGATGATATCACTCGCAACTATTGGTGATTTAGTCACATTCTTTACCGAAGATTCCTTTGAAGAGATAGTCATGCATTTAGTGATGAATGACGGGTATTGAATGTGGAGAAGTGGTTTCCGTGTTACGTCCTCGATAATCGCTCCGCCTGTAGCCCTTCTAGAGTTACTCCCGGTCCCAAGCCCAAGTTAAGCAGGAAAGTTGGGCATGGAGTTAGCGACCCCATCTCGTAGAAAGCTAACTCGCTAAAAAAACGCTAACCAGAAAAAATAATTCAAACCATTTTAACTCTGCCCTCCAAGTTCAAGGCAGAATTACGACGCCTTATGATGAAAGCCGAAACTGGGTGTCAAGAATGAAAAGCAAGGATGTTGTTCTGAAGTAGGCTGACTTTTCAGATTGTAAGCAACCTTAGCTGTCGTAATAGATGGGCGGCACAACGTACCTAAAAGTCATTTTGTGCAGATGCTCTCACCAGAGCCTTCATCTAGGGATGTATCCAGTAAATCCAATGAGGCTACCATCGTTGCCGATATCTTCTGAAGCTAATCATTCAAGGGGTCGTTTGAATTTACACTCTTCTTCCAGAGTCTTACTATTCAGTTTCACTTGGCTGGTGCAACCTATATTATACTTCAGGTGTTGTGGTCCCTTTTGCAGAAGTTAATTTTGCATCTTCGCTTCTGACTTTTGATTTGACTGGGTTGTCACGTTTCGATTATAAAAGGTGTTTCTGGTTAACGTTTTTTCGAACACCGAATACTTGTTGCATCTTTAGCGGTGAGCCCGACTTGATCTAACACACTAATCTGTAAACAATGAGCCTGTTCCTTCTTGGGACGTTATATTATCAATTTCTATTTGGATTTTTACCTAATGTGATAGGTTTCCTAGTATTTTCGGATATCTTTCTCTCGTTCATTGGTAATATTTTGCATTTATCATGACCAAACAGACTTTGAAATTAATTAGGATCAAGACTCTTACGCCAACCTCATTTCGGCTAATGCCATTTTGGCCTGACAATATCTATAACAATAAAATATGAGAAGATCAAGAGAGATTAGAAGAACGCTATGGCAAGATAACTAACCATTGAGACTGAATATATCAAAAAACCTAGAGTTACTCCCGGTCCCAAGCCCAAGTTAAGCAGGAAAGTTGGGCATGGAGTTAGCGACCCCATCTCGTAGAAAGCTAACTCGCTAAAAAAACGCTAACCAGAAAAAAATAATTCAAACCATTTTAACTCTGCCCTCCAAGTTCAAGGCAGAATTACGACGCCTTATGATGAAAGCCGAAACTGGGTGTCAAGAATGAAAAGCAAGGATGTTGTTCTGAAGTAGGCTGACTTTTCAGATTGTAAGCAACCTTAGCTGTCGTAATAGATGGGCGGCACAACGTACCTAAAAGTCATTTTGTGCAGATGCTCTCACCAGAGCCTTCATCTAGGGATGTATCCAGTAAATCCAATGAGGCTACCATCGTTGCCGATATCTTCTGAAGCTAATCATTCAAGGGGTCGTTTGAATTTACACTCTTCTTCCAGAGTCTTACTATTCAGTTTCACTTGGCTGGTGCAACCTATATTATACTTCAGGTGTTGTGGTCCCTTTTGCAGAAGTTAATTTTGCATCTTCGCTTCTGACTTTTGATTTGACTGGGTTGTCACGTTTCGATTATAAAAGGTGTTTCTGGTTAACGTTTTTTCGAACACCGAATACTTGTTGCATCTTTAGCGGTGAGCCCGACTTGATCTAACACACTAATCTGTAAACAATGAGCCTGTTCCTTCTTGGGACGTTATATTATCAATTTCTATTTGGATTTTTACCTAATGTGATAGGTTTCCTAGTATTTTCGGATATCTTTCTCTCGTTCATTGGTAATATTTTGCATTTATCATGACCAAACAGACTTTGAAATTAATTAGGATCAAGACTCTTACGCCAACCTCATTTCGGCTAATGCCATTTTGGCCTGACAATATCTATAACAATAAAATATGAGAAGATCAAGAGAGATTAGAAGAACGCTATGGCAAGATAACTAACCATTGAGACTGAATATATCAAAAAACCTCCAATATTAGAAACATTATGGGATTCCAACAGAGTAATTAGGTTCTTTTCATGTCGCAGCTCAAAGTTAATAGTTTGACATTTAAACGGGTTAATTGTGAGATCATTAACAACAGAATACCATTTAATACGGGAGAAGAACTTATTGATTTCAAGGGAATGTAAAAAAGCAGAAATCAGCTTTCACGTATTGAGGCCATCTACATATTTCTCAAAAGTGTTTCTGTGGAAGATGACATTATGCAGAAAAAAGAGACGAGAAGAGGGGATAGGATAACTTCCTGTGACACATCTTCATGAGGCAGTAGAGCCATTGAATACTTTCCTCTAAACACAGCGTATTGCTCTTTCCCAGAGAGGAAGAAATATAAACAGTTTGTTATCGAGCTGTCATTTTTGACTTTGATTAACGTTTTAAGTAAATTTTGTCATGGGATAGAATCAAAGACAGAAGTATAGTCCGGAAAAGCGCATGAAACATACTTCTTACCCTTCTACAAGCTGAACACTATATTATGATGCAGAACGACAGCGGCGTCTAAGGTGCTTCTTGTGAATTTTTAAGCAAACTGATACGGATCAATGCGCTTGTAGACCATCTACGTTGATGATCTATGTCAAAATGATTGGGGGCCTACTAGAGTTAAACGAGAATGGGGACGAACCAACTAACGCTGAAGTCACACCTCGCGACCAGCGCTTACGTGCATTGAACCATCGACGCATCAAA